AGTTTGTTCAAATAAAAGTCCTGGGGTCAAAATTGGCCCGCCCCAGGGGGTCATTGATTTTCCCTATATGCATATAGTAAAAACTTGAAAAATCTTCTTTTAAAGAACCGAAAGAGCTAGAGCTAAGATATTTAGCATGAAACATGTTCTAATAGATATCTACCAAGTTTGTTCAAATAAGAGCCCTTTGGTCAAAATTGGCCTGGCCCCGGGGTCATTGATTTTCCTTATATGTGTATAGCAAAACTTAAAAAATCTTCTTTGAAAAAAACCAAATAGCTAGAGTTTAGATACTAAGCATGAGTGTCTAGTGAGTGTCTACCAAGTTTGTTCAAATAAAAGCCCTGGGGTCAAAATACGACCCGCCCGGGGGGGTCATTCATTTTCCTTATATGTGTATAACACAAACTTAAAAAATCTTCTTTGAAAAAACTCAAATAGCTAGAGTTTAGATATTAAGCACGAAGCATCTTCTAGTGAGTGTCTACAAAGTTTGTTCAAATAAAAGCCCTGGGGTCAAAATTGGCCCCGCCCCGGGGGACATTGATTTTTATTATATTAGTTTAGATATTAAGCATGAAACATTTTCTAGTAAGTGTCTACAAAGATTGTTCAAATAAAAGCCCTTGGGTCAAAATTGGCTCTGCCCCAGGTGTGTCATTGTTTTTAACTATATGTGTAAAGAAAAAACTTGACCAGCTAGACTTAAGATGTTTAGCATGAAACATCTTCTAATGGGTGTCTACCAAGTTTGTTCAAATAATAGGGGTTTAAACTGGCCCCGCTCCGGGGGCCTATATACAGGTGAGCGACTTCAGGGCCATCATGGCCCTCTTGTTTATATATATATCGGTAAAGGAATGCCACCTTATTTAGACAATAATGTATCGAGAAGACTTAGAATAGCTTTGACAAAACTCATAATCTAAGAATACAGACAGGTAGATATTCACGTGAAAGAGTAGATCTATCGTAAATTAAGATAATGTTTAATTTGCAATACACACGGAATTAAGGAAGAGTTTCAATTTTGTGCATATGAAAATTCAAGAACTATATATATTAAGAATAATCATAGAAATAAACCAAGTATGTTTAAATTTACTCAATTATTATGAAGTGATAAAAATATAGAAACAACAATGCTTTGTCAATATTTAAATGCGGCTTTCAACTTATGATACCAGATTATTAATGCTTAGATATGTATTTCAACCTACTGTTTTTAATACCTTACAGCTGTGTATAGAAAAGTAGGTATCACCCATCACGGTTTTTATTTGTTTGGGTCGTCAGACCAAACAAATAATGGTAGCGAAATTTCAGACCCTGATGTGCTTATTTGCAAATACCGAAAGTAGTCCAAACTCCTCGAAGCGGCTACTTCCCTTTATAAGTACACTAACGCCGAACAAATTTAGAGTGAGACTCAAATAAAGTTTCCTTTTAAAAGGAAAGGCTTGCACAGTTGTGCCTTCATCCCAACCCTTTAAAATTGTTTTTTTTTTGGTTTCAATTTATTATCACAATTTTTTTGAATTACGGTATTTGTATATCATACAGGGTTTATTTAGTTGTTTTTATTTTTGTAAAAACGAATATTTTTGTCAAAACGATTTGAAATCTATTCTCTATTGTATAAAACTAATAAAGAAAATAATCAATCGTAAAAATACTAACGTGGAGATCTATCTATCATACTGAAGGGAAACAAGTGTGCACATTTCATTTCCACTTTTTTCGCAGAGAAATCATTCGTTTTGGCAGTAAATAGAAGCTTTATAGACAAGTAAATGCACTAAAATACTTCGTTACGTGGAACCAATTAATAAGCATGTATCAACTGTGTTACTCAGATCACAGATACGATGCGCTATCTGTAGATCAGCACGTGGTAAGATTAATGATATGCATGGGCTATTTTTAGATTACCTCACCAAGACGTTAAATTGCGTTCAGTAGATCTAAATATAACTCGATTCTGTATGATTTGGACCACTCTTCGAAGACGGAATACTACTACAGTCAACATTCTCTATTGTATAAAACTAATAGAGACAAAAAAACAATTATAAAAGAAACTAACTTTTGCGTCTTGAAAAAGAATTGAAACGGAACAATTTCGTTTATAATTTATTACGGTTTAAACCAATAAATCAAGTAAAAATAGAAATCTTATTTATATAAACAAACTGTGATTAACGAAGTAACTAAAATAGCTTAGATTTCCGTAATATTACTTCGTCTGATTCCGCAGTATGACGGAATCTCCCGAATTGTCACGATTGCAATCGGAACTACATCGGCTATTATGATTAATCCGAAGAGTGACGGAAAAGGCCGAAAAGTTGCGATTGGCACGATTGCAGCTGGTTTCCCGTTCAATCATGCACTTACAACTGTAAGCAGAAAACAACCTAACCGGAACAAGTTTTCCAAAACAGATTGGAGCACCACACTAAATACCGTATTCCGGTATATACCGGACACGCGATTGAATGATAAAATGCTAAAGTCTTGCTTTTTAACCCAAAGGTCTAATTCATCTTTTCACACCGATTTATGTATGATAATGAATGAAAAATTTGAAAATCGGCGAAAAAAACGATATTTGTCTATTTTCTGATAATGATTTCTGCAAGCGTCTAGAGGCACTGCTCCAATCCTGTATTGAGTTAAATCCAAAAATTTATGGAAAATCACTGCGTAAAAACAGGCGCATTAATTCTCGGGGAAGAAAAAAACCCGATTGGTCGAAAATTTCTAATATTATTGTGTTATTCTTTACAGATAAACATGCTTATATAAAGCTCCATGATTATTTACACCAGTGTTAAACAACAAGTTTACCGTAAAATTAATAAGGTTTTCAACCCTAATTTAAATAATATGGTTTTCTACAGGTTATATTAAAACTTCACCGTGGTCGAAGGGTTAGACGCTCGGTTGGTAAGCGAGAGGTCTAGAGTTCAAATCCCAGTAAAGGCATCTTTTAAAAAAAAATTATTTAAGCCAAATAAACATTGAATTAAATATCAGTGTTGCAATGAGCCTTATAGCCAATTTACTACAGTTATAACACTGGAAACAGCATTGGTGACACTATACAAAAAGCACATTGGTTTATAGTCTCACAACCTTCACTTTTCTGACATTCTGAGACCCAAACAAATTCAGCGCCTTCTGTGCTTTGATATATTCTTGTCATTTATATTTTGTTTCGTCCATCAAATATATCATGTTTACTTTCATGTCATTGTATTTTTCATGCCATTATATGTGCATGCTTGTATATATGTTAATCACGAGAAACTTGCAGTTTAAGTGATAAATAAACGTTCTTCTTCTTCGTAATCTGTTTGCTCCTCCCTCCTATCAGGTATATCAGATAGAAGATATAAAACGAAATCTGGATAACAGTTGGAACTTCACAAAATCCTAAATTTTCTAATGTTTATACAGCTTTAAAATAAAATAACGCTTTTTTAAGTCGCTAACGATTCTTTTAGCTGTCTTACTTTACGAAAGACATACAATGTGAACTCAAATTTATATATAAATCATAAAATGTGCACTCAAATTTATATATAAAACATTGATGGAAACATGACATACTGAGTTAATTATGTCATTGAATTCGTGGAACGAATTATTTAAAGAATTCGTATTCAATATGATTTTGGTAAGTTAAAGAAATCATTTGTATCCTACTAAAATCAGTTTACAATTGCATTCATGAGAAATTCTCTCTCTGTTTGATATTTGATATTAAAAGGTCTTGTTTATTATAGTGTCACCCCTACTGAAAGGGCCAGCCATTTCTGACTTATGAGACACCTTTTGCTTGCATACCATGTACCCAACTCCTTCCACTATGCCTGGCGCCAGTCGGATAGAAATCGGTAACCATTCATTTTAACTACCTCGCGGCTCACGAAGCGGCCATTTCGGAATGAGTCCCACGAGAAACATGCATCCTTCAATTTACGCTCACCGTGGGGCTCGAACCTTCGACCTCCCGATCCGAAGGCGGACGCCTTAACCACTAGGCCAACGGTACCGGTTAATCAAAGGTTCATAGTAAATGATATTTGTTGTTTACCAAAGGCATTTGACGTAAATGGAACAACAAGGTGATTTTAAATATGATTTGGTAATGTAGTGACTTGATATTATGACCAGGACGATCGAATGCGTTACTGTGTTTAAATATCTCATTTTCATAGAGTGGTAGCAAGTTAATTCCAAAACTTAAATTGTAGCAGTCTGGTGATGTAATGGCGGAAATAACAGTTGATACGCAAGCTTAATAACTGTGATAATAATAAAAGTACATAATTATAATTTGAATGGCTTCCCTTTGATCATGTATACCACTCATGTCGCAGATTTCAAGAGATTATCCTATCTTGTCTTAGTATACATTTTAAAAGCAATAAAATGAATCACTCTTTGGTTCCAGGTTAGAAAGACAGAAAAAAGAAGGAAGAAAGAAAAGACTAGACAACATAATCAGATTCATCATGGCAACATAAAACAGCCATCTTTTACTGTTGTTTTATATACTTGATATTGTTTCTAAGTGTCTGGCTTGATTGTAGATCAGTCCTGCGGAACCGTACACCATAACAGAAGCGGAAATATTGACGCATCCTTGACTTTAATACCATACTCAAATTATTACTGTAACGATTATCAGATTAAATTATATAAATATATTTTTGCAAGTTTTGATCTATGAACACGTGTTGGGATTTTATTGCAATGTAGAAATATATCTATTTACGAGGATGTCCAATGTATTCACCATTACTTCAAAATTGCTCATTCGTAATTGTAACGTTACAAAGTATTACTTGCATGCTCATGAACATATGTTGTGCTTTTTGTTCCAGGTTAGAAATATAAAAAAGATAGAAAACAAAATAAAAATTGCATTGACCAAACATTGGTATAAGCATAAATGACATTAGAAATATTTGTGTTTAGTCACCTCACGCATGGATTATTGTAATGCACTTTTATATGGTGTACGTAAAACGACATTGAATAAACTACAACATCTTCAAAACACTGCTGCCCGCATCATCACAGGAACATCCAGATTTGAACATATCACTCCAGTATTGAAGAAACTACACTGGATTCCTGTAGTTTATCGAGTAGATTTTAAAATCCTTATGCAAACTTATAAAGCCCTACATGACCAGTCACCAATTTACCTTAAACATTTACTGGCGCTATATCAACCAACAAGAAACTTAAGATCAAAGAACTCTTCAAAGCAACTTGTTGTTGCCAAAAGTAGGACTGTAAGATATGGTGAACGCAGTTTCTCTTCGATGGCACCTAAACTGTGGAATGCTCTCCCAGACAGTATCAGAGACTCAAAAACAGTAGATGTTTTAAGAAATCTTTAAAAACACATTTTTTCCAGAAAATTTATAGTAACTAACTGTGCTGTATTTGTCATCACTATGAATTGGCGTGCTGTCTTTTGTTATGAGATATCTGGGTACACATTTGAAATATAATAGTCTATTTTTGAATCACATTTCCATTACTAATTACTGTTTTCATCATATTGGATTTAGATTTCAGTTGTCTTATCTTGATTTGTGTTTTTTTTTGTTTTTTGTTTTTTTTATTTATTTTATTAGTTTTAACGTTTCTCTTTATTTTATTTTCAAGTCTTAGATTATTCTTCATATACATTTTTTTATTTGATCGACTGAGTTTTAGACTTTTAGATTAATCATGGTATATTTTATACTTTGTAAATGTATACATAAATGTGTGTTATTATTTTTATTACTTTTTTGTTGTTTTTAAAGTCATTGTAAATGTATATAATTCCATTGTAAAGCGCCTTTGAACATTTTATTTTTTGAGAAGGGCGCTATAGAAATGTGGTAATTATTATAATTATTATTATTATATTTGCATTTTTTCAATAGTTATGAACTCAAGCAGGACACTCTATATTAACACGAATTTATTTTGAAGACAAATTTATTATTAACAGACCACAGGCTGTTGCACTGTGAAAACAGAAATTTTCATAAGCAATCATCACGGAAGTAATGGTTTATATCTAATGCTGACAATTGAACGTTCACAAATTATAATAAATCACAATATTAGGTGCATATGTATTTTAAACGGTGTAATGTTACAATATTATATATAAAAAGGGGATATTCATTTTTTTCTATAGACATAGGATTTATTTTCATCAAGTGGTATGGCATGTGATAATTTTCATACCGCAAGATGAAAATAAATCCTGTATACATAAAAAGAACTTGAATTTTCTGTTTATTAAATACTTTTTCTCTCTTTTTTTTGCCTCAAACTTCGTAAGACTTGTGTATTGACTGAAGAAAGAAGAAAGTGGTCCGGCAAGACACTAGTGAAAATACGGAAAATATGTTTCACTGCAGTGATTTTTTTTTACAGTGAAAATACGGAAAGTGAAAATATACATTATACGTCGTCAATATTTCATTTATTAATATATAATAAATTATAAAATGCTACTATGGTATAAACAAATAATGTTTTATCTCTACATCAGCGATGTTCCTAAAATCTGTTAAGAGTGCATTTGTGTTTGCCATGCTTCATAGGAAATTGTAATTAAGTTGAAGACATAAAAATGTAATAACTAAATGGAAGCGAGTTCAAGGACTAAAAGTGATACATGTGTTGCGTGTTGAAACTTGAGATATATTAAGCTTCACAGCGTTCACTGGTATTTGAACTGTTTGACATGAAGTTTGTAAAACAACTATGGGCCTTGTATACTTGTAGTGTTACATTCAGATGTAATTTTATTAAGTACAACTATTTCACACTTACTAATTTATCAGAAATTATAATATTCTACCTTAGAAAAGAATATCAAAAAGTACATTGCGAATAGGAGATCAAAATTTAAATTTCAGTATTATACAATTTTGCGCTCCATAGACATTTTAGCGCTTTAAATACTTTCTAAGAGCAAACTATAATATCTAATTACAACAGTCTGCAAAGTTAATGAAGCTGAATAAGATATCTCCAGAATGATTGCCAAATGTATGTAATATACTCCTTAAATCTCCATACCTTTAATGTCCAGGTGATCAGTTATTTGATTAATATAATAATGTTTCGCTTAGTTTATTCTAATTGTATTTGTACTAAATTTCAGAAACTTTAAAACAATAGCACTATCACATTTGCCAAATGTTTATCAAGAAAACACTGACATTTAACTCGTAAGGGACATAATGGCAAGATACAAAGATATGTGATCAAGTTGGAGGGTAATTAAGATTTTTATCATTGCCAGTTACAGTCTATTTTTTTGTGATGTTATTCACGGGGAAATGAAAAGATTCTATACATCCGCTCTAATAACGTTCTGAAAAATATTTTCTCAGACAGCAGTTATTACTGACACGTGATAAAACGATAAGATTATCAGAATAAACCAAAGCGAATTTTCAACGTTTGCAAAACATCTTTTAAAAAAACTTCGATATTTGGAATCACCGTCTTATCTTGTCTACTGTTGTAACAGATATCATACAATAACAAATTATTCTTGAATGAAAAATATCTTGCAATATTTATACACGCTCACTAGGTAACGGTTATTCCCTGCGGTCTGGAGACCGCAGGGTATTGGTACGCGTTTAACTTTTGAGGCACGGAGGAGCACGTGACCTGTTTTCGGTACATGGAGGAGCATGCGATCTGTAAACCGTACATGATTGGTTAATTGAGCTTTTCGAAAACCTAGCTAAATACCGTGTGCCGGTACGTTACGGGTTTACCTCTATGGAATTAGTCCGAATTACACATAATTAAGAACAAAAAGCTATTAAGTGACATTTCTAATTTTCTATAATTATTTTACCGTTTAAGGTGGAAAACTTGAACGATGTGTTTGAAAATTATTAATGTTTCTTTAATATCTATCTAAAATTTTACAAACAATAAATTGTTTATACGGAAAATCTACAAAATTAAAATATTCGTAGTGGCATCTGCCATAATAAATAGAGATATTTTGTAAACTTGTGTGTTTACTTAATTTTTTTGCTCGAAATTATTCATAAAATGGTAGGCCTATTTAATCATTTTCTTAAAAAGAAATAATTGTTTTATGTTCGACCTTCATCGGTCTTTGAACAACGGTCGCCAGTTTCCAAAGATCTTCTTCTATATTGATCGATTATTGTCAACTATATTCCTGATACAAACGTTTATTTACCCCCCCCCCCCAAACAATGTTTAAAATAGTTAAATGAAATATCTTTATATCATTAAAAATGTTCCCCGCAGGAAACCATTTTACTTGTTTCTTTACTGACAGAAACATAATTTCCACTGCTACTTTGTGTAACGGCTTAATTTTAAGACCTCGTAAAAATATATGACGTAAACATGAAAGCAAATCATGAGACTGTCATAAATGCCCAACCAAAATTATCTTTGTTAAAACACTAACAAAACATTTAGTATCATACACACCTGTTATTTTTTTGTATCCCTGTCTAATATAAGTTTCAATTTTTGTATTTTTATTTGCTTCAAGTACCTAATTTAAAAAAGATTTCATGGATAAATAGTACTATATAGAATGATGTATTTTGTCTTGTATAATTTTGTAAGCAGTACAGATACAATATATGTTATACTGATCTTTAGTAATGTAGATATTTTTTTTAACAAAGCAGAAGTTGAGTTATAACATTGCACTACTGAAAGGAAACAAAGAAAAAAAAACAACATAAATACAGATATAACAGATTTTATTGACATTTAAATTGGAACACAACCACAACATCAAGCCGTATGCAATCGGATTTGACTATATAATTCTCATTATGGTTATCTAATATGGAATTAGACTGGACAAAAACCAATTTAGTCAACTGACAGATACAATCATTGTTTATTATGACAAACATTTGAAAAGTACAAAAATAAATATTTACATCACATAGCATATTCTTTATTTGGCATAGAATGACTTTACACATTTATAGCTAATACAGTTAACAATCATGTAATGGAAGAGCATTAAACATTAAAAAAAGACCTTAATAAAGTTAAAATGTTTTACAGATAAAGCAAAGTTTCAAAACTTAAATAAATTGAAAATACTAATTGTTGTTCATTTTTTCTTTAAATGAAAAATACAAAACATTTGACAACTTACTCAACATTTCATGGTTGTTGTAGACATTAGTTTTTCAAATTTATTAAATCTGTGACAATTCTGTATATTGTATTATTCATCACACACTCGTGCCGCTTTTGCGACTCCGTAAAAATGGTAATAAACGGTCATGCATGTATTTTGACGTGAAGACATTTGCGTTCTACAAACATAGCATAATTATGTTATCGTTACACTGTAAGTGCGTCAACGAAAAACACACCAAAAACACAAAGATACAAGTAGGACTTTCACAAGACCAACTCGTAAAAAGACGTAGAATTAACGTTATGCTCCATATTTCAGTTACTCCTTACATTGAAAGTTATTACAATAACGATGAATTCAAAAGACATTGTTTTTAATTTTGCATTTCTTCATTTCAAAGGTATGCACTTCTATGAAATAGCATTTGAAATTCACAAAAGGCTTTTTTTGCACGTACCCTGAAATGAATATCGGCGGAAATGTGAATATGAAAATACACCTATATTTTGTCTCGTGCAACATAACTTGAATTCAAAATTTCAAAATTGCATCTTTTATAAAACAAATAATCCTGTGCCAGAGAAAAAATCATTCAACGAATCATCATTGAATGTAATAAAACAGGTAAAATATTCCATATATAATCATTTCTACACGTTGTATCCTTACAATATAATGTACTTTATTTGTAAGTTTATTTGAAATGTTTCATATTACATGCCAGACTGACCCTCAGGTAATTTCGCCGATTATGGGGATTGTCTTATATATGACACAAATAAATGATTTTGCAATTGTCATTTATAAATCTTTAGCAGCATATCTTATGAGTATTACAAAAAAAATCTATATAATAAGATGGTCAGATGATTATCATGAAACACTGTTACCTAAAACATTGTTCTTATTGTGTACCAAAAGCAGATTTGCTGGGCATAATTTGAACAATAACATTTTCTTTTTGTGTAAGCTCTTATTTCCAACTTCAGATAAATATAACATCATCGATCGTTTAACTTCAGCATTTGATAGGAGTTAAAGCTTTCTTTATGATCAAAATTATTTCCTTTGCCAAAACTATATTTTTGAATAGTTTGAGGGAAGCATTTGTCTTCTTCAAATTTCACCGGAGCAGACATGAAAATTATTTTCAATCTCTATCTTAGAAATTATAATCCTACCAACAAGGAAGCT